GGAAGTATTGAATTACTAATTATTGAATTCTGGAGGAGTTTCTGGGGAAAGACATGTTTGTTTTGGTCTGTACTCGTGTCTTTTGCAACTGTCGGAGATGAGCTTACTGAGCAAGATGCAGCTCTAGTAAAATAATTTTATATTCTGCCTTCAGTTTTGTAGGTACTCTAGTTATTTTTTTGTGTCTTTGCCACTATTTTTTGTTTTGAAAAGAAATGTAAGGATACTATTTTTTTGTGGCACTTGTTGATTTACATAAACACAGATAACCTACCTTTGTGTAACCAGCCAGCCTTTTTCATCTTCTGTTTGAGCCCATAACAGTGAATTAATACCTTCTTAGTTATGTAGGTGCCAGATTTTAGTCAAATGAAAGGTCTGTTTATTCTACATATTGAACCAATGCTTATACTTCTTTTACATCATGTGCATTTGCCATTGCAGCTCTGTTAGAAATGTAAATTATCTTTGATGCTTCACATCAATCTGAAATCTTACTCTAAGAACGCTGAGATTATATATTTTTGTTCTCTGGTATTTTTTCCTAAATTTAGGTAGTACGCAATGAGAAGTACGTGGAGTCTGTATTATTGACAGAACAAGTAGTTTCTATCTCCTTTAAAATGAGAGAAAGCATAGTAAATCTAATAGATATTTCTTTATGATGACTACTTTGCATTAAAAAACTGCACTTTAAAAGCTAGACTTCATCATTTAAAAACAAATTTTACTATGTTGTTTGATATGTCTAAGCTAGTTTGTTTGCAGAAGGGTCTTTTTTTTCCACCATCATGGTATATGAATGTTGTGCATGTTTTATCAACTTCCTCCTTACCAGATGAGTCAATGAGACAAAAGTACTTTCATTATTGTGTTTGAAAGTATCAACAGAGGTACAGAGAGACCAACATTTCTAGTTGACCCTGCCTTAAATGGAGCTGTTGGACTAAGCAGCTTTGGGAGATTCCTGCCAACCTGATTTTTTTGTGTGTGACCCTGTGATTATAAAGCCAGATAAGGACCTGCATTTTCTTAATCCTTATTTAGTGCCTTAATTTAGACCATTTTTGTAGCTTTAATGAGAAAACTATGCATAGGAAATAATCTGTAATATTTGTTTGTTCAGATGTTCGTAGGAATAAGTGATATTTCAGAGAAGAACTTTGCTATCCATGACTTCTACAAGGAATTGTGACAAAAATCAAATAAATTGAAACAAGATGTATTTTGATTGTTTTTAAACCTTAAATGTTAATTTTGGAGGAATGTCTTTTATATTAGCAAGATATATATGTGCACATTTATTTAGTGACAAGTGGAAAGATTTTTGTCTCTTTTCTGCATATTTCTCTAACTTGAGAATGAATGTACTGCTTTAACTTGTTCCCCACTTTAGAAATCAATAGTTGTTTTAGGAGATGTAACATATGTATTAACTAATTGTAATCAATAGTTATGTTCGTCTAGAAAGCTCAGAAAATTTCCTAACGTATGTTGGAATGAAAGAAGTAAAATTGTTGTTTTTCTTTCACAGGGTGCAAGAGTACAAAACACAGCCAAGAATTTAGGAGTTAGGGATCGAACACCACAGTCTGTGCCAAGGTAATTGATTCTTTGTGTCCTAGACCATGATTTTGTCTAGTTTGTGCCAAATTCAGTCTTGGCTGTTCAGAAGCCAACAGTAAACATTGACTATATTGTGCTTTAACTGGTAAGATTTGACTTTTAATGTACATAAAATCAATTGTGTTCTTAGCCATACAGTTTTGCTTCAAGTAATTAGTTGCAGAAGTTCAGGCTATGTAGCGTTTTGAAAAATGAAACCTAGTTCATGTTAATTATTAAAACACTGGACTAAATCCTTCATCACTTGTAATGTTTAGTGGTTTTAGGGAAATACTCATAACTAAATCCATAACCCCATTTTAATGAAATACTGTACTGCAGTATCTCAGCAAAATCATGTTCTAGTTGTTTTTAGAGATGATGTAGTCTTTCTTTGTCTCCTTCTGAAATATCCATTAGAATGAAAAATGGACTGTTCTATATTTATTCGGCTTTTTAATGCATGATAAATTGCAGGTACCCGAAGTGTTTCTTAACAAACAGATTTCTTATAAATGAAAGTAACCAAAAGACCATGTTCTTAATTTGATTTTAAAGTAGTTTTAGTAATCCAGCACTAATTTAAGCTGGGTTTTACCAATTTAAAACATAATGGTTTTTGTTGACCAACTATAACACATTGAGTGAGCTTAGCGGATATATAAATACCTAACAGACCCACTGTGGTGTTTAAATTTCAGTAAGGAAACAGAGAATTAGTAAAACCTGATAAAGGCAAGCGTGTGAATGAACATAAATGCTATCCATAGCCTCACAGAAAGACTTCTGTACTGAGCACTAATAATCCGGAACTTGTTCTTAAATAATTTGCTCCCCTTTTCTCTGGTGTCCCAGTTTCTCCCGTTAGGGAATCAGGCTACTGCTCATAACTTGTTTGTAACTGAACATCACATCTTGTTCCATGCCTGTGCTCACTCTGATTCTAGAAAAAGTGTGTACCTTAGTGTACAAGGTATGAATAAATCTGAGTAGCAGCTGCTGTTCAGTTTCGGACTAGCGGCATTTGTTGGCACCTATGTGCATCTTGTATGGCCCATAAAGGTGATTAAATAGCATCCAACAAAAGTACTGATTCTAGAGTAAATCCATCAGCAATGTGGCCATTGCCCTTAGCAGCAGATGAGGGCATCCCTTCTCACAGTAGCAATTAGCTTAGAGGCAGTGCAGGACCAAAATTCCCTAACCAACTGTCTTGCATTGTGGGAACCTATGGCAATCAATTAACATTTTGTTACATTGAAACTTGTGAGAAGCCTTTTCATATTTTGAATGGTATGATTTGAGCCTTAAATGGGCTCCTTCATGATATAACTCTGGAGACAGCCAAGGAATTGCAAACCAAAGTTTTCCCACCCCTATATGACAGTGCATGTATTCAGAGCTTTTGTGATAAAGGAAAAATCTAAGTTCTTGAAAAGAAAAACTTAGTAATGAGACATTATTTGGCTTTGCATCAGTTGAGGAAAGATTGCTTCTTTTCAGCTGAAACTCCCATACATAGCATTGAAAAGCTGAAGAAAAATTATGAGAGAACTCCTAGAACATAGGATGCACTCAGCACTCTTGCCAGTCAGCAACATCACAGGAATATCCCAGACCTCAGTGTTTGGGGCATTTGGTGTACAATTAGATGCATAAGTCACGTAAGTCAGAATAGTCATCAGCAGGAGTGTTCATTTTGATGTATAGCTAAACAATACTGTAGGTCCCCTGTTCTCTGCTTTGAAAATAATTTTGCATTTGGTTTCATTTAACATCGCTTGACAGGGTTCTCTGTTCTCTGCAATTGCCACTGTTTCTGTTTTTTCTTGGCTGATCTGTTTGTACCATCTCAAATAGTTGTTCCATATATACTGACCCAGAACAGGCTGTTTCTGCTCTACAGCACCTCCAGCAACTTTAGATCTGTGGGGATTTATGCAGCCTTGTTGTCAGTTTGCTTCAGAATTCCCCTACATCACTTGCTCTGAAGACAGTCATTATGATTACCACTTTAACCTGAGGAATACACAGACCTTAGTACTTGGAGCTGAGGTTTTTTGCACATTATTCCATAGAAATTAGATTTTGCTAAAGCATCATCAAGCATGAACCCCACTGCAATTACTTAGATGAGATTCTGATTGTAATTTTATCTGTCTTCTGCCAGCTTTGAATATTACTGCTTTATTATACCATAAGAATCAAATAAACTCAGTTCCTGTTTATTCTTCTCTGCGTACTTGTCTGTATAAAGATCAGACGATCTTATTCTCTAATTGGTATAAAAATATGAGATATGTATGTATTACCTTATATATGACTCCTTACAAATACTTTGCTGTCTGCGCAGTAAAACAGTTGTGTTTCTGAATCTGCCGTATGGCCATGTGCAAGAGCCCAGTGATCCTCAGAACGCATTACGGCAGAGACTGGAAAGCAAGTTTCCAGTTGCTGTTTGGCTGACAGAACTGGTTCTCCACGTTCTTACTATCCAGAAACAATACTGCTTCATAATCACTTCCAGGAAGATTCAGAGAAAAGTTATTTAGCCCATGGTCATTGTGTGTTTTCAGTGTCCTGTGGGTTCTAGCTCCTTACAGAACTGAAATTGGAGAACAGCAGCTATCCTGCCCTGCTCTTGCATAGCCACAGGATTCTGTTTCTGACAAGATATGTCTAGATGCTATACAGGCTCTCAGCACTTGCTGAGGAAGCCATACATACCACGCCTCACATCATTTCAGTATTAGAGTATCGTGCCAAGGAGGCATCAGCCCACTGATCTTGAATTGTTTGTGGATCCCAGCCACATGTTTAGATTTTTCTTTTCTGTGTTGATTTGTAGTATGATTTTGAAATTTGTGATTAGTTAAAATGGAGTCATGTAAATTAATATGATATTTAGAAGGCAAATTTGCAAAAGATACTTGTAATACTGAGATACCCTGAGCATCTTAAGTATCCCTAGCCCCCGAGTTACTGGACTATTCACCACCCTGCCTGTAGGCAGACCTACCAAACCTGCTATTTCTATTGCTTTGATATTTCAACATCAGGGAGTCGTCATGTCAAGTATTAATGTTGTGTCATTGTCTCTTCTGGTTTCTGATGCTTTTCCTCCTTCCCATGCCATACATGGTCACTTCTCTTTGTTAGGCCCTTCAATGATACATTTTCCCTGAGGAAAATATTTAACCTCCAAATGAGATCATGTCTATCGCTGATTCTAAATGCTGTGATTGCAGAGGAGATACTCTATGCTAGACAGGAGTACAGAACAGAGAGTCTGAGGTCAGAATGATTCCCTTTTCAGTATTTCTCTCATTAGTTTCAAACACTTGCTTATAACCAAGGCCCTTGCAAAAGGGTATCACAGAAGTCCAAAAGCCTTTATAAATGGAGCAGCTATTTCAGTCTGTACCAAGGTAGTTATTTGAAACAAGTCCTACTGGTCTTGACTTCGTCCATGTAGAAACAGAGGGGAAATAGTTTAAAATTCATATGCTGGTGTGTCACACGTCTGACATCTGTCCTAGGTGCTTCAAGCAATATCAGTTATTTAGGAACTGTTCTTAGAGTGACGTTTGACTGTGCCAAGACAAAACAAAAAATGGAGACAATTACATTCATCAAGCAGCTTTATCAATTTAGGAATTTGGGACAACAACTGGTAATTGGATCAGTGGAGGGATCTTCAGTGCAGAAATGTGAAAACTGAACTGCACTGAAATGTCTTTATAAGACTGCTTAAGATGTGTGTTTCAATGATTCCACTTTCAGTGTAACATTAATGCTCACAAACAAGATTTCACTAGTTTTGTATTGTTGGTATTAAACTGAATTCAGTACCTTGTGTTTTGAAGTGCAGAAAGATGTAGATTTAGTTTGTATTCCTTAAATTTACCCATCTTAATAATGGCCAAGCTCTCAGAATAACAATTGCTTTGTTTGTTTGATTTTTTTTTTTTTGTCTTTGTCAGATTATACAAGCTATGCCAGCCACCACCACCTGTTGGAGAAGAATGAGAAGAACTGCTCCAGAAAACAGTTCAGTAGTGATCTTTAAGATACTGGGACTATATGACAAAAATCCAACTGCACTATAGCAGTATGTTCCTGGGGCTTTGATAAATAAAAGACCCTCTTTTACTCAGGATAAAGAAATACCCTAAATATTCTCCATTGGCATTGAAAAATGACTTCCAAAAATAATTTTTGAAATCTGTGCACTCCGCTCTTACACTAGGAGAACAGGAATCTTCCTTGGGAATTTTACACTGGAATCAGATTAATTTGATGTGTCTTGTTCAGCCACATGATAGGTATATCCAGGAGCTTGAAAACAACTGTCTTGTATAGAGGGAATGTCTTCACTTGTACACTATACAGAATATGTTCTTGTGGAAAGAATAACAACCTACATAAACTAGGCTTGAAAATGAGCATGCACTTCATGTGGGGCCCTTTGCACTTGGTAAAGCCTTTTTTCCTGTTGTGAGTGAGGTTTGAAGATGGAAAACTCATCTCAGAATTGTGTTTAATGGCTGCAGGCAGTATCAGGAAACTCAGCCATGTCTGAAGCAGTCTGTTGTCACACTGCTTTGGAAGGAGGACCTGTATGGCATATGAAGTTCTGCCCTTTTTCAGTTGCCATTATAATGAAGGAGAACAAGGATAAGTCTGATCTTCATCCATTGCTAGGCTGAATTTCAGACTCTATCTAACGGATGTTTTACATTATTGCGTCTTTGCATTTCAGAGTTTTCCAGATTTGTGTATATTCTGTAGCAGTACACTAGCAAATCTACACAGGGCAGGAATGAGTCAATATTGTCTGTGGTTTATGTTGAAGCACGGTTTAGGGGTTTTATGTTCATGGCTACCATTTCCCACATTTTGTCAGAATTGTTTTGTATAGCATTTCTGTTCTTTGGAATGGTAATTGTTGTAGATCTATTTCGAAATTGTACTGACTATTTAGAGGGCCCAGGGAAAATTTATCTGCATTTGGCTGTTCATTGGCCAAAGAATTTTCAGAGAAAAATTCCCCAGATGAGGTTTCATATGTGAACACATTACAACAAAAACTCTATTCTGAAATGGTTGTACTTGTAGCAGTAGCTATGCATTCCATTAGAGCAAGACACATACTGTCTGAATAAAATTTACATTTTGTACAACAGTCGCCCATAGTTATGCTGTAGCAAGCAAACCTCACAATGTAATTGTTGCATATGATCTAATTATTTATGAAATCTTCAAAAAATATATTAATCCACAGTGTAATAAGTGAGAACTCAAAAGGATCTGTACTCTTGCAGAGAGTGTTGGTTTTATATAGGATATTTAGGGAACTTGTTACTTTTCTCCAAAGGAGGAATTAGAGCTCCTATCTTTTTCAGTGTTCTTAGTGTTTTTACAGACTTTAACTTTGCTAAGAAAATAATTATTTTTATATATCCACAGATATATATGTCTGCTCATATATGTGCATTTCATTATGCATATATTTATGTAGTCATATCAATTACTGGTCCTACCTTAAATATAGAATGTTTGCCTTAAACTGTGACAAAGTCATGCAATAATGAACATGCCAGTAACAATTTCACCTTTGTGCTTTGAGGTTTATTCATTCATATTTACTGGAAGCTATTTGCTTAAAAAGAAAAAGTGCACAAAAATAAAACAAAACAAAAGCCAACCAGAAAACAAAGTTTTAAAGACTTACTCTTTTTGTCTGGCATGGCCTAATGCCTGTACATAAGAAAGAGTCATGATTTCTATAGTTGCTGTTCTAGCCAGGATCTCATACTTTCAGATGTGTTTTATTCAGAGTGGTGGTGCTGGCTACAGTAATTGCTGCTCCAGGCAAAAGCGCCACTAATGTTTCAGTTTCTGCTTGCTCAGGCATCAGAAGTACAGAGAAACTGTAAGCACCTCATGCCAAGGGTGTGCCAGTGTCAGCCTGGCTGTGAGCTTGCATCTTCCTGTGAGATTTGCCTACATGAGGTTTGATTTACTACAAGGCAAGTCAGCTGTCAGCTGCATCAAGCTGCTAATCCTGTATAATATAAAATAACCCTGAGGACAAAATCTGTTGCCATGCATATGTATTATTGTAACTAGTCATCACTTTTTTATAAAGTATTGAAAATAGTAGGAGTGCCAATACTCCAAAATAGTCTCCCTGTATAATATGATCATCCTCTGTTTTGTTTTGTTGTTGAAAGCATGAGATAGCAGACATTCGTAAGGGACAAATAGTTACGAGTGAGTCACTAGACCAAATTCTTTAGCTGTTGTTTCATGACTGTGCATCAGAAATCTTGACCTCTTGTTTTTGTATATAATTTTTGATTCTTTAGTATTTTTTGCCCCTCCTAGAGACAGTTTTCAGGAATCTACTCAACATTATGATCTTTATTGGTGACCCATACGGCAAAGTAAAATATCTATTTAGCTTGGTATCAAAGGAGACATTTAATTTAAGAATTAATAATATGAGAAATGTAACTCCTAGTTTTCTGGGATTACAGGTAGTGCATAAAAATATGATTTCCAGAGGAAATGGAGCATGAATGTCCCACTGACTGTCTATTAAAAGTGGTGCCTAATTTCTCTAAATGTCCTTCAAGAGCCCATATTTGCTTGAAATGTTGTGCAGCTCTTCAGACTGATTTTCTTGTCCCTCTGTTTTCAGAGCTCCCTGCACATTCTAAAGTATCTGACTTCTAATGACATTAGATGCACATTTAAGAAGCCCATTCTTAAATTACAGATTTGTGTATGTTCACTATTAAAGTTATTTATCTGGTTTGTTATATGTAGAGGATGTATTTATTTCTTATACAAGGTGCACTTGCTGAGTAAAACAAAATCCATTCTCTTCACAGTATGTTTATCCTCTCATAAAGTTTTAAACTTACAGCTGGCAAAAAGAGATGACCAAGAGCGATTTACAAGAGCTGTATCGCCCATAGCTTCTTAAATCTTTGCTTTGACAGCAATGGGTTATACAGCCTTGTATATTTTTACAACAATGTGTTGTACTGGTTTAGGGGAAGCATTCTCTATGTAATTTTTTATTTTTTTCATCCAAGACAAGTGTAATTCTTCTGGGAATAAATTCAAGGATCTAGAGGCATGTATTACCAAATACTACCATGATTCAGTGACAGTCTGTGGGGGATGCATAGGAGATTTAACAGCTGGGAAAGGAGGGTGACAAGCCAGAGAACAGCTGAGTTGTCATAGGGTTCGTGCTTGGAGAAAACTTATATTTTGATTTTAAGGTAGAGCTGGTGAGTTTGGCCTATCTTTGTAACCATAATCTATGAATAATAGGTTGTTAAACAGTCTTTAATCTATGCAATGAGCATTGATTCAGTCTAGTTCCCCAGATTAGGGATTTTATAACACCTGTTTTCCTTGTAGATTGTAAATGTAAATGAATATAAAAATGTATATAGTCCAGTATCTCAATGTCAAACTACTTTTGTGTTTTGAGATGAATTTTAAGGTAAATATTCCCAGTGCCAGCTTGAGGCAACCAACCAATTTTATGTCCACTGAAGGAGTTACAATCATTAGTGACTTTTTTTGATACATTTCACTGGGTTTTAGCAGATGCATCAGGTTTTTGGGCTGGCTTGTATTTGTTTATTTTAATGAAGTCAATAGTGGTCAGAACTGCTCTTCTGCTGGTTTAGAGTCAAAACAATTAAACTTCATTCAATAAGGATTTATAATAACCATACTTAATTTCATTTGTTAGAATCCTTTAATGGAAAAAAAATGAACCAGTTTTATTGATCTGTTTTTACCCACAGAAATTCACAAGCAAACGTTCTACTAATTCATTGTTGGATGTAGTGTGTGTGTGTATATATATATATATATATATATATGTATTTAAGACAATTGCCTGAATGTGAGTATGCACATCATGGTTAAGCATGATGCTCAAAAAAGGAAAGTGTCTTTCATTTTTTTTCATTTAAATGGGGAAATCAGTAACTGTAGTATATATATATATGCATACTGTTCCATACTCTTTACAACTCCTTCATGGATATGTCTGCCAGCATTTTACGCATATTTTGCACCATTTTTTGTTTAACATTATGAAAAGAGCGAGTGCATTGCCTTATATATTTTATCTCTGTACTTGTTGATAAATGCAGGTAGTGCTTTTCTAATTGTACTCAACAGTACTCTGGCATTGGTAAATTAGATGCACAGCACATACTCGACTCAGGATACCTGGATTTTTCATCATTAGGTTTTGAAGTTTAAAAAGATAGTGAACTCATATTTTTGTATGCTGACAATTGTGTAGGGGTTTTTTTATATACTGTATATATCAATCAAGTGTTCCTAAAGAAAATTTATTGCTAGGAATGTTTCCCTTTTCCTGCTACAAGATGTGTGTTTTCTTGTTCTGTATGTATAAATGAATATACAGCATGCACAGTCATGCAGATGTTAACACTGTCAAGAAATTTCAGATTGTCCAGATGCTAATCAAGTAATATCTTACATTATTCTCCAAAAATAACATCTCCATGTTAGAAATAATTTCTGCTTCAGTTTGAAAGTCCAACAAAGTGTCCAAAGTAGCTGGGACATTTCTGCAAGTACTTAGATATAAACTTTCATGGGAATATCCACGACATCTTCTGTGGGTGTGTGTCCTGTCTGTACCATGCACCAGATTTAAAAGAGTAACAAGCCTTATTAACTTTTTAACATCCTGTATATAGTGTATGTATTTGGTTATACTGATGTTACACTTTAAAAATGAACTTAATTTCTACATTGAGTATTGCACACATTTTTCAAACGAAGAATATATTTTATAACACCTCATTAAGCACAAGAGAGCATTACTGCTTTGAAATATTATGTGTATTTACAGCCATACACAGAATATCTCAGCTTTTGTTTGAAAAGAATCAAACTAGCAGCTCTGTGGGTAGTTGAGTTTGTTAGAGGTAACCTTTGCAATTAAATGTCCTTGAAAC